TCCTGCTGATCTCTCTTTACTCTGCAGGGATGAAAAACCCACTTTCCTTTTCAATTGTCTTGATGTTCCACTATTTAAACAGTCCTTTCTTCTTCAATGGTGCTGTCCATTAGCCCCTCCTGGTAATGTCTCTCTTCTACTTCACAGCCCTGCAGACTCTTTTTAACTCTAGACAAAAACCTTAACTCATGGGTGGTCATATTAACTCAGGTGTAGAACAGACCAGAAGAAAAGTATTGGAGGCACTGTCAAGATGCTCAAGAGGGTGAGACTTTGTTTTATGAAGCTGAATAGGAGACATGTTTAACTGTAATGACTTATAGGACCAATAATACCATCTTTTGGTTATTTTGGCCTAGTGTGCTGCGTTTTTTAAATTTAATGTATTTATCTAGCAAATTAATGCACAGGCCAATACATTTGTATTAGTTTTTCTTTGATCTTAAGCTGAATAATACAGTGCTGGTCTCCTAGCATATTAGTAAGGCTTCTAGTTTATTTTTAAATGGAGAAAAAATATGTTGTTCTATGTGTTGATGTGCCACACTTAATATACCCTCCCTTCAAAATCCTAGATCTACCTCTAGGTGGATCTGTTGGTGCCCCTCAACCATAGCCCCTCTTATTCTAGCTGCGAGCTCACCACTCCCAAACACGATTGATTCCTAGATTCTCTAGGTCCTAAGCCATAAAGATGGGAAATGACTTGAAGTCAACAATGCTTTCCTTCATGTATAGTTTTCATGATCCTTTGGCAATAGTCATTGGATCTTCTGGCAGGACCAGCTTTATGGAGATTGCCTACAAGCAGGCACCGAGACTTAGATCTTCAAAGGTATGTAGGCATCTAACTTGCTGTAGCGTTAGTAGGAGGTAGGCCCCTGAGGCTCTGAATCTTAGTGAGACAGGTTATCCATGTTAGACGCATAACTCCAAAAGTCTTCGATAACATACCCAGGCACCTTTGAAAAATCCCCTGAGCTCCCTCTCTTCACCTTTGAAAAATCTGGTTCTTACCAAATGGTGAGGTTTTGTTCTCAGCCTTGGTTCCCAAGCTCTCTTCTCAAGGAGTATCCTCCATGTTTGGTGGACACAACTCATGGTAAACATCATGTAGAAGTTACTAGAAATTCAGAGGTCCTCTTGGGATGATGCTGAAATGTTAACAGGACACATTATATGCAGAGAAAGGGAGAATGTGAATGGACAGGTTTGAGATTCCAGTGGGAGAATCTAATGTACTGAAGAAAGACTTGCACTGGTGAACACATGGCTGATTCTTTTGAGATCACCATGGACTATGAAATCTGAAGGGCCTCCAAGCAATGGTAAGTAATTTAACATTGCTGATCTACCTTGTAATTATAGACTTATCCAAAATTAGGGTTGGGAGGGACATCAAGAGGTCATCTAGTCCAACCTCCTGCTCAAAGCAGGACCAGCACCCCCTACCTCTTCCCAGCCAAGGCTTTGTCTACCCAAGTCTCTAAGGATGGAGGTGCCACAACCTCTCTGGGTACCGTGTTCCAGTGCTTCACTACCCTCCTAATGAGAGAGCTTTTCCTAATATCTAAACTAAACTTGCCCTGCTGCAACTTGAGACCATTGTTCTTTGCTCATTGAAACCATTGTTCCATTGCAGTGATCCCCTTCTGACCAGCAAGAAAGCCAAAATCTAGAAACTAACACTGTTGAGTTGGTTACTAAAGTCAGAGGGATTTTGGTACTTGTACAAATGTTTTCATGGTGCAAGTCAGTGCTTTATCACTATTATTCTTTATTAATTACTTTATTAAGGGATATTTATTAATGCATGATCCCTTCTGCTAACAGATTTGACATCAAAGAGGAACTTTTTGATCATGTAGGCAAGGAAGGTGTGGGTATTTGGTAATATTCTGACCTCACAAATTTGTTCCATTTAAGGGGATGTGTCCTTGACTTCCCACAAAGCACCGTGTAGGGTTTTTCCTTTCATAGGGTGATTTGTATCTGTGGGCTAAGAGAGGAGTTGGAGTGAATGGTTTGGGTCACTGGAGGGTGAAGAAGAAGTCCCTTCTAGTATAATATCCTCAGTTCATTTGGTATAAAGGGAAGATGCTCCATTAATTACAATGAGCCAGATAAATTTGTGACAGCTGGGTGCTTATGAATCACTTTATCTCTGTTATTGCTGATATCTTTGACTATAACCACTTAGATGCTTCAAGAAGGATGTGAACAGATTGGAAAGAGTCCACTGGCAAGACACTAAAATTAGACTCCTGGAAAGCAACACCGATGAGGAAAAACTGAGGGAATGAGGATTGTTTAGTGTAGAGAAGAGAAGACTGAGGAAAGGGCATTTGATAATGGCCTTCATAGGCAATTACAGAGAGCATGGAGATAAACTTTCTCTATGGCTGTAGGAGATAGGGCTTAGGAGCAAGGGCCTTCAGCTTCATCAGGATGAGCTTGGAGATGAGGAGAACTTTGTGCTCTGAGGGTGGTCAAGCATTGGAACAGGCTGCCCAGAGAGGTGACAGTGTCTCTGTCCTTGGAAATTTCCAAAAGCAGGCTGGACAGACACTTGGCTGGGCTGATTTAGTCAGGGGTTATCCTCCCCTGAGCAGGGGGCTGGACTAGATACAACTCCAAGAGATCTCTTCCACCCTGACTTTCCCATGTCTCTATGACTCTATTTGCCTATCAAAGAAATTCTCTTGAGTTAGAACTGATGTCGTTTGATTGTGGACATTATAAACTGCTCTCTGCTGTTCTCTGCTGGATGTGAGACAAGTTTGTGGTAGCATTTTAAATGGGTTATCTTATCTTATTGCACATATGGCTTTATGCGGTTTTCTGTGTTGTCACAGATTGCTTTTATAACTACGATGATAAGAACAATGATTGTGTTACAAATACCAGCCAACTATTTTGCATCTGATTATCCCTCCTGTTCTGGTTTGCTGCCAACTTAACTGTTTGCTTAGCAAATATATTTATAAATGCATTAAAATAATGTAATTCCCTGCAGATCAGTGCTTTCGCGGCCTTCATTTTGTAAGAGGGTTGAGTTATGTTTGCATCTAGCAAACCACAGATCAGAGGTTCTTGATTTTAAATCTGATCCCCTGAGAGAGGAAAAAAGAAGACGAATAGTTTTGAGTTTTCTTGCTGCTTTCTTATGGTGGAAAGACAAAAATATGGAGGTGTTTCTAGTTTCTTTTGTTTAAGTTTTAGGAACAGCCAGAGTGTCTAGATAGATTTCTGTGGGAAGACTTTTGGGAAATGTGGACTGACACTGGTTTGGTACCTCTGAAAAGGGATCCTAGGATCTCAGGGAGGTATGGTGAGAAGGGACCTCGCCAGGACACATCTAGTCAAGCACATGCTAAAGGCAGCACCATCTCTGACTCAGCCGTCCCAACCAAGTGTCCATCCAACCTGTTCTTGGACAGTGCCAGCAGTAGAGACTGCACAACTTCTCCAGACATCCTGTCCCAATGCCTGACCACCCTCATGTTCAAACAGGTCCTCCTCATCTCCAATCTGTATTTCCACTGCTGCAGCTTGAGGCTGTTGCCCCTAATAGTGTTTCCTACTTGCAGTCTCCAGCATTTAAGGTCTAGGACAGGGGTAGGCAAGGTTTTTAGGCTGGAGTGCCAAAAAAATGCCTACCTTGGAAGGTGCTGGAGTGCTGGCATGCCAGAAAAACAAAATGAGGCAGGGAGTACATGGCAGGATTCCCTGCTTGTGTCCCTTGCCCCCCACCCAAAGCCCCTGCCTCCCAGTCTTGCTGCCCCTTGCCCCTCACCCAAAGCCCCTGTCCCCCAGCCCTGCTTGTGCCCCTGCCCCCCAGCCCAGGCTTCGTGGCTATCAGTAGCTACCCAGATCTTGGGCCAGTTGCAGCCAGGAGGCTGCAAACAGAGCACAGTGGGGGCGCAGAAAGCTGCCTGCCACTCCGAGTTCCCCGCTGCCCTGACCACACTTCCCCTGAAGGTGGGGCAGCAGAGGGGACCACAACCCTGCGTGCTATCCACGCTTCTCCCGTGGACACAGGGGAAGTGTGACTTGGGCAGTGCGGAGCTTGCAGCCTCAGGCAGCTTCCCTGCGCGGCCCCTCTGCGTGCTGCTGCTTTGGGTCACACACGCTGAGATCCGGAGGGCAGCAGGGCTGGGAGCACAGCAGCTGTTTGCAGCCTCCTGGCTGCAGCTGGCCCAGGTTCTGGGTAGCTGCTGAGCCGGCTGCTTGCAGCAGGGCTTTCTTCCTCCCAGCCAGCTGCTGGGAGCAGCCTGGGCTCTGTGGCTATCAGCAGCTACCCAGAACCTGGGCCAGCTGCAGCCAGGAGGCTGCAAACAGCTGCTGCCTCCCCGCCCTGGCCTCAGCTGTCTGCCAGCCCCAGGAAGGCAGCAGGTGCTGGCATTGCACCCATTGGAGCTGGGCCGGGGCCAGTGCAGGGAGGCAGCAGCTGTTTGCAGCCTTCCAGCTGTAGCCATCCCGGGCTCTGGGGCAGCTGCTGCCAGCCATGGTGCCTGGGCTACTCCCAACTGGGAGCAGTCTGGGCCCTGTGGCTATCAGCAGCTACCCAGAACCTGGGCTGACTGCAGCCAGGAGGCTGCAAACAGCTGCTGCCTCCCCGCCCTGGTCCCAGCCGCAACACATGCTGAGGAAAATGGCCTCACGTGCCATGCTCAGCACGCATGCTGGAGGTTGCCAACCCCTGTTCTAGGAAGTTCTGATTCAGAGAATGAAGCCAGGGATGGACCTGGGGGTGTGCAGTGGTACCTCCTCCCTTCCCTTGACCCCTGCTGCACCCAAACTTTAAAACCAATTGACTGGGAGGGATCCCGGCCGCAACACATGCTGAGGAAAATGGCCTCACGTGCCATGCTCAGCACGCATGCTGGAGGTTGCCAACCCCTGTTCTAGGAAGTTCTGATTCAGAGAATGAAGCCAGGGATGGACCTGGGGGTGTGCAGTGGTACCTCCTCCCTTCCCTTGACCCCTGCTGCACCCAAACTTTAAAACCAATTGACTGGGAGGGACAGTGGTATTTCTTTTCAGGCAGCGCTGAGGGAGTCCATTGACATCACGGGTCATTATTCCCTGATTCCTGCTAATCTCTTCACTCCATGGATATTAATGACCCTATCTCCTTTTGAAGAGTCTTGACGTTCCACTATTCAAGCCATCCTTCCTTCTGCAATGTGGCGGTCTGTCAGCTATTTCTGGTAACATCTTGTTTTTATTTCAAAGCCCTCCAGATTGTTTTTAGCTCTATATCTGAAAATCTGAACTCATGTGTGGTCATATTAACTCAGGTGTAGAAATGACTGACTGTGAAGTATTAGAGGGGCACAGGACACCCAAGAAGGTTAGATTTTGTTCTATGGATCTGAATAAGAGACATACACTACACTTAATTAAAATGACTCCAGGACTACCTTTGGCCTATTTTTGCCTAGTTTGTTGTCTGGTTTTTGGTTGTTTTTTATTTAAACCTGAATATATTATGTAGCTAATCAGTGCACATTCCATTAGTTGTATTTTTTTTTATTTGCTTAGATTTTAAACAGACTAAGATGAGAGAAATAATCGCTGATTAACTTAGCCAACAGTGTGCCCTTTTTGTGAAGAAGTCTAACAGCATACTGGGCTGCATTCATCAGCAGTCCCTGGGAGTCGAGGATGACATCCATCAGGCTTGATGGGCCCTCAGGTGACTGAGGAGCCCGATTCTGGATACACACATTCTTCGGCAATAGGGGCATGTTGTTGCACAGGGGAGTGGGATTTGCAAACCCTGGTTGATCTCCTTCTCCTTCCTATGCTGCCGCCGTTCTGCCTTAGTATTGAGTCGTTGGGCCTCAAAGTGGTGCGTGCCTTGGTCGACCAGGTGGCACCACACCGAATGGTCAGCACCTTGCTCCTCCCAGCCATTGGTGTCAATGCCTCTGTGCTTGAGGGCGACCTTGAGTGTGTCTTTGTACTATTTCCTTTGGCCGCCCTTTGAGTGTTGGCCAATGGAGAGCTGGGAAAAGAGAATCTGACAAGGGAGGTGGTTCTTGGAGATCCAGATGCAGTGGCCCATTCATCAGAGTTGGTTTCTCCTTGAAGGCAGCACTAGCACAGCTGACCTGGTGCTAGACTTCTTCATCGATGGTAGCCTGTT